ATTGTGGAATGGATGATGATATAAAAATGTATAGGGAGATTAATATTGCTGTTTCATAAAGCAGTATTTAACTGTTGAGGATTTTATAGATTTAAGCCCGCCTTTCAGTTTACCAGATGAGCCAAAGGTAATTGGTATCAAAAGCAGTGTTTTTTTTTTGTTTTTTTTTTTTTAATATATTTTATTGATTTTTTTACAGAGAGGAAGGGAAAGGGATAGAAAGTTAGAAACATTGATGAGAGAGAACCATCGATCAGCTGCCTCTTGCACACTCCCTACTGGGGATGTGCCCGCAACCAAGGTACATGCTCTTGACTGGAATCGAACCTGGGACCTTTCAGTCCGCAGGCCGATGCTCTATCCACTGAGCCAAACTGTTCTCGGCCAAAAGCAGTGGGTTTTATCAGCAGTGAATTTCAGAGACATGCGGGACTTGGATGTCCTCATGGGCAGCGAGTCTCCTGCACTGAGCAGTGCCCTCTCCACGGAGCATTTAGTAGCCGGGATTGCAATTGGAAACTGCCTGTTGTAATGTGCCCGACTGGGGACCCTGTAGGGTATTTTTGAGGAATGGGGATCGGTTTCTTTAGCTGTAGTTGGAAAGTACTGTCTTGATATTTTATCAAATTCTTTTAAATATAGGACACTAGACCAGGCATGTCTTTCAAGAAGAAGTGAACTGTTCAAGATGTGTCCCAGTGGGCATTTTGAATTGTCCATGGGGTAGTTGTGAATCACAAATTTTTATATTGGTGTAAATTTAATAGAATTTGTTGGTGAAAAAGAATAGGTTCGGAATGTCACCCAGTTACCTCTCAGGTGCTGTGATGGATATTAGTTTCATGTTTTAATGTATACAGATCTTGTTGTTATTATTGTGAAGAAAGGATTGCAGAATATTTAAAGTTGCCAGGTCCATTTTAAGCAAATAGGTGCTTTTTAAAAAATTGTTTTTATTTATTTTTAGAGAGTGAAGAGAGAGAGATAGAGAGATAGAAACATCAATGAGAGAGAGGAACATCATTGAATTGGCTGCCTTTCACACGTCCCACACCAGGGATCTGCCCGCAAACCTGCAACCTGGACTTGTGCCTAGACTGAGAATCCGAACCACTGACTTCTTGGTTCCCGGGTGGATGCTGAACCACCCAGCTGGACTTTTTAAAAAATTCTAATCTGAGGATATTTTTCCATTGATTTTTAGAGAGAGTAGAAGGGAGGGAGAGAGACACAGAGAAGAAACACAGAAACATATGCCCCACACATGCCCCAACCAGGGCCAGGGAGCCTGCAACCCTTCAGTCCGACGGCCAGTGCTCTATCCACTGAGCCCAGCCAGCTAGGTGATGCTTTCATTTTTTTTTTCTTTATAAAACTACCTTTTTATATTAGAAAATTAAAAAAAAAATGTACCCCTGTATCTTACTGTGCCTACTGCTCGGAATCAAGCGCCAGTGATACCAGATTCTAATACTGAAGAATCACATACAGCTCTAAAGATAGCATTTGTAAGCTACAGAGGTTTACATCAAATAAAAACAAAAGGGGATTTCTCATCTTGGGTGAGTGCTTACCAAATAATATTACATTCTAGAAAGTAAGGCACGTGAAATCACTGGGATACTTTTGGTAGTTCATTTACATTTTAACTTCCAAATAAATTGTTCCCAATTACAAAATGAAGTCCTAACCGGTTTGGCTCAGTGGATAGAGCGTCGGCCTGTGGACTGAGGAGTCCCAGGTTTGATTCTAGTCAAGGGCATGTACCTTGGTTACAGACATATCCCCAGTGGGAGGTGCGCAGGAGGCAGCTGATTGATGTTTTTCTCTCATCGATGTTTTTAACTCTCTATCCCTCTCCCTTCTTCTCTGTAAAAATCAATAAAATATATTTTAAAAAATGGTTAAAATGAGAAACTTGAAAAAGGAAAAGAAAATCAGATGGGTCTGTATTTTTAGTTATTGCTAGTATATTTTAATATCATTTGAGTAATGCTACACATACTAACGATTTCATCTTTTGAATAAAATATACATGTTTAAGTTTTATAATTTACAATTTTTAAATTTTGTAATGGTATTTGTTTGCTCAGGGAATTAATTCTTTTTTGGCCTACTTAAATATGTTGGTCAATACCTGAAGCACCATACTGTTATCGAATTTTAGAGTTGAACCAAACTTTTATTTATTGTTGCATTACATAACTATGCCAGAAACGAAGGGCTTAAAACATTTATTACCTCAGAAATCTGGGTGCAGCTTATCTGGATGCCTGTGGCCCAGGTCTCTTATGAGGTACAGATAAGCTGTCATTGGGGCTGTAGTCTCAGCTGGAAGCTCGACTGGGGGAAGATTTGCTTCTAAGCTGGTTCCTGCAGCTCTTGGCAGGATTCAGTTCCCAGGAGGTCCTGGGCGGAAGGCCTCCCTCAGACCTTTGACAGGTGGGCCTCTCCACAGGGCAGCTGGCACTGGGAGCTGGCTCCCTTCTGAGCAGACAGGTGAGAGACACAGGGCAGATGACACCTACACGCCGTTTTAGCTGCTGTTGTCCAGTTGTTAGAGGCTGCCACCTATAAGGACTTTAGTTTGTTTTGTAAAAATTAAAAAAAAAAGCCGAAACCGGTTTGGCTCAGTGGATAGAGCATCGGCCTGCGGATTGAGGGGTTCCAGGTTTGATTCTGGTCAAGGGCATGTACCTTGGTTGTGGGCACATCCCCAGTGGGAGGTGTGCAGGAGACAGCTGATCGATGTTTCTCATCCATGTTTCTAACTCTCTATCCTCCCTCTCTATAAAAAATCAATAAAATATATTTTAAAAAAAGATACGAAAGAAAAAGAACCCAAAGATACACAAAGTGGTTAGTAATTTACCAAGACTCAGAAGGTACTGCTTGAAGAGCTCAAACTCAATCTCACATTCACTGCTGCTCAGACCTTGGGCTGCATATGATTCTCTTGTAAGATATAAAATGCCGAGGTTACCATCGTAAGGAATATATTAAAAACCTCCACCGTCATTTAGAATGGACCCCAGTGTGTCATTTTGAAAAAATGATAGGCAAACATACACACACATTTATAATAGACATATGTGTGTGTATATGATGTATCTGTGCATATGTATGTTTCTCAAGAACCTTTGCTTCTGAGGGAAAGTTCAATATTAAAATTTTACAGCATAATAATTTATACAGCAGTATAAATTATACAACTTTGTTGTATATCCAAATTGTTACTGCTTTTTAGATAATTTTTTTTGGAGGCTGTGTACATAATTTATCTTTTTAAAAATATATTTTTATTGATTTCAGAGAGGAAAGGAAAGGGAGAAATAGAAATATCAATGATGAGAGAGAATCATTGATTGGCTGCCTTCTGCTTGCCCCACACTGGGATCGAGTCTGCAACCCAGGGATATGCCCTGAATGGGAATCAAACCGTGACCTCCTGGTTCATAGGTCAATGCTCAACCACTGAGCAACGTTGGCCCAGCCATAATTAATTTTTCTTAATGTAAACTTACCATTACAAGATCCCATGATTTATTCATTTATAAGTTTGATGTCGTTGTCCTTCTTTGGTACCTATATTTTAAAGTTAAGTATACAAGAAATTTGCCACATGAAAAGAAATGCAGCCATGGTGAGATCAGATCCAGAAGGAAGCAAATTGGAATGTAACATTGGGTTGTATCAGGATCGGTGATTTTCCTTTTGAAAATCTTATGAGGAAAAAATTTTAAAAATATATAGTTTATTGATTTTTTTTACAGAGAGGAAGGGAGAGGGATAGAGAGTTAGAAACATCGATGAGAGAGAAATATCGATCAGCTGCCTCCTGCACATTCCCTACGGGGAATGTGCCCACAACCAATGAACATGCCCTTGACCGGAATCGAACCTGGGATCCTTGAGTCTACAGGCCGACGCTCTATCCACGGAGCCAAACCAGTTAGGGCAGAAATTTTTTTTATTGTTGACACTCTTACAGATGTCCCCCCTTCTTTCCCTCCCCTTTGACCTCTGTCAGTCCATTTATGTGAAATTTTAATGTGCATGCTGTTTTTCTAATGCTGATAATAAAACCACACACAAAAGTCTCCAGGTAGGTAACCTGACTGTGCACTCCCTGTACCGCCTAATGGAAGACTTGTGCGTTGCCTCTTTAGGCTTAAATTTATCTTACAGGGGACGGGAACAAGGCCTCCTAACACTTTATTGGAACCAGGGGAGAGGATATTAAGCATTAATCTGAGTATACGTTAGAGATGGGGGAGTACATATTAAATAAGTAAAAACTTTTAGGTCATTTTAAGTTTCACTTTTGCTGGACTTGTCTTAGGACTCTAGAACCAGGGTGTGTGTGGGGGGACGCACCTTGTTCAGCCTAGATCGGACGCACCTTGTTCAGCCTGAACAAGGACGCACCTTGTTCAGCCTAGTGCCCAGGATGGTAGCCGCTAGGCGCATGCGCTTATGCATATTTCAGTGACTTATTTTTTTTTTTTTAATTTAAAAAAAAATATATATTTTATTGATTTTTTACAGAGAGGAAGGGAGAGGGATAGAGAGCTGGAAACATCAACCAGCTGCCTCTTGCACACCTCCTATTGGAGATCTGCCCGCAACCAAGGTACATGCCCTTGACCGGAATCGAACCCGGGGACCCTTCAGTCCGCAGGCCGACGCTCTGTCCACTGAGCCACACCGGTTTTGGCAACATTTCAGTGACTCTTAAAGAAAAGTAAAACTTTGCTCTCTTGGCTGCATTAAAGCCGCATTTCGAGTGCTCGGTAGCCATGTGCGGCTAGAGGCCACCGTCCGAGAAAACTCTCCATTGTGTTCCTGGTTTTGACCAGGGGTGTGTGTGTGTGTGTGTGTGTGTATGACCAGGGCTCATCACTGAAATCGCCTGCCAAGCTCACTTTTATTTCTCCGTTTCCCTTTTGCAGGTTTTGGAGCCGTGAGGGATCCCGCAGCTGGGTCCACGTTGCTTTAACATGCTTCAAATCAACCAGGTGAGTATGAGTCGAGGCCCGTCATACTACTGGGGTGCTTGGGCTGTCCCCCCGGGGCGCGCACTTCCCCGGCTCTCCTATAACCCTAACCTGGCTGCCGCTTCGCAGAGCAGTCACACGCTGTCTGTTCTGTGGGAGGGTTACAGCCGTAGTCCCGAGGGGGGATGGCTTTGAGGAGCGCTTGGCTCCTGGCTCTTTGTGAGGACGGGCTGGCGTGTTCAGAACGCTCACCCTGGGATCTGTCTCCGGTCGGTGGCAGTTCTGCGGACCGCGGGCGCTTCTAGTGACAAATCTTGCGAAGGAGTCGTCGTATCGGCGTGTTAAAGAAACGTTCCTTTCTAGGGCACTGGAAGAGGCGAGGAGGAAGTGCCCTGCTAATAAGTAAATGACAGCTTGGCGGGCCTCAGACTCACGGAGAGAAATAGCTTTCTTGGATGTTGGCATTTCTCCAAGAACTTTATACCCTTAATCTTACCCTTTCTCAACAAATCGGGCATCGTGTCGGAACAGTAGTATTAGAAAGCACTTTGTTTTATTTTATTTTATTTTATTTTATTTTATTTTATTTTATTTATTTTTTAAAAATATATATTTTATTGATTTTACACAGAGAGGAATTGAGAGGGATAAAGAGTTAGAAACGTCAATGAGAGAGAAACATTGACCAGCTGCCTCCTGCACACCCCCCACTGGGGATGTGCCCACAACCAATGTACATGCCCTTGACCGGAATCGAACCCGGGACCCTTCAGTCCCCAGGCCGACGCTCTAAGCCAAACCGGCTTCGGCTATTTATTTATTTTTTAATAAATAGAGCCAAACCGGCTTCGGCTATTTATTTATTTTTTATTCCACACTTGCAAATCAAGAAAGTTTAGATGGCAACCATTTGTTTTCTTTTAAAAATATTTTTTATTGATTTCAGAGAAGAAGGGAGAGGGAGAGAGGGGGAGAGAGAGAGAGGGAAACATCAATGATGAGAATCATTGATGGGCTGCCTCCTGCATGCCCCACACTGGGAATCAAAGCCCGCAACCTGGGCACGTGCCCTAACCGGGAATCGAACCGTGATCTCGTGGTTTGTAGGTCGATGCTCAACCACTGAGCCACACTGGCTGGGCTAGATGGCAAAATCCAATTGCAAGAAGTAGTTTTTTGTATGTGATGTGAGGAAGTGTAATGCAAGTCTCTCTTCCCCTCTACCCGCCTCCACCCCACCAGCTTCCCTTGCCCAGGGCACATCCAGTTCTCGTTCACCACACGCCGTCTCTGAGGACTCCCACGTTTACCCCTGGTCCAGACCTGTCCTCTGAGCGCCAGAGTCACACAGCAGTCACCAGCCTGGTCTCTTGGCGTGGTTGTCTTCATACAGCTCAGGGTTAGCACGGGCCCAGGAAATCGTCTAAATGACCTCCGTTCTGCCAGGCCGGTTCGGTGCCTTCGAGGGGCAGGGCCATTCCCGCCGTGGGGACCCCGCCAGAGCACCGCTGCCCGCCCTCCCTGTCCCCCCGCGGGCCCGTCCACCAGGCCTAGCGTTTGCGCGCACGCGTGGCACCCTGCCTGCCCTGCTATTGAATGGCATCCTGACATTTCCTTGACATTTAATGATGTCATTAATTGTTTAATGTCTGTTTACTATACATCCTGCTAGCCAAATGCTCCCGGGAGGCAGTGACCTTGGCTTGCTTCCTTCCCTCTTGTATCTCAGGTCCTCGTAGTTCTTGTCGGGCTTAGTTTTCACCTATTTGCTGGATGAGGGGGTGAACGGTGTAAGGGTTGTCATGAGAGCGAGGGTCTCTGGCGGTCCTTTTACCCGTAACCGCGCGGTGGCATTGTCTGTTCTGGGGCCCGCTGACACTTGCTTGACCCAAATGCCATGGAGGTAAAACCCCTCGCTTCTGCAGAGCTGCTGTGTGATTCCCTCCGGGCGTTAGGAGGTTTTCCCGTGCAGTAAGCGCTGCTCTCATCACAGGCATCACTGGTAACGGTGTAGAGGCATTTCAGAGCTGCACCGCGCGTGGGGCCACGGTTCCCTGCTGGAGGCGTTCACGGAGCTTTGGAGACGTGGCCGGCAGCCGCGCTGTCCGTGGGACGTGGCCTGTGACCGACCGCATGGTCACCTGCCGTGAAAGATAGGGGGCCGGTTAGGATAATTTGTTTTATGTTCTGCTGCACACAGATGGGATTGGTCCTGTTGTGCCCGTCAACATCGCTGCAAAGTCTAGTTCGTAGGCGAGTCCCACTCGGGCTTTACTGACTGTCCGTGCTGTGGTCACGCCGAGTCAGGCGTGTGGAGCGGGTCTGAGCGACCGTCTGCATGGCCACATGTGATGGACGTGTGTGGTGGGCTCTCTTCCGGAGCCTCTCTGGTTCTCGACTGAGTGTTGTCCCCCAAAAGGTTGGAGCCTGAAGGGAAGGGTCACCCTAGTTTGGGTGGCAGACGTAGAGAAGGCTCCCTCTTCAGCCAGACCTAAAGCCACACCCAACTCCTCGGCTCGGAGTGATTTTACATTTGCTCATTCTCACCGTGATTGCTCTCTCTGCCGAGGAGGGTTCTGGAGATAAATGTGACAAAAGGCGATGGAGGCAGACCTTCCAGTGGAACAGCGGAGGTTTTTGTAAAAAAGTATATTTTATTGCCCTGACCGGTGTGGCTCAGTGGATAGAGCGTCGACCTGTGAATTGAGGGGTCCCAGGTTCGATTCCGGTCAAGGGCATGTACCTGGGTTTCGGGCACATCCCCAGTAGGGGGTGTGTAGGAGGCAGCTGATTGATGTTTCTCTCCCATCGATGTTTCTGACTCTCTATCCCTCTCCCTTCCTCTGTGTAAAAAAAAATCAATAATACTGATTTACTACTAATAATAACAATAATACTAATCCTAAAATATATATATTTTAGTTTTTATTTGGAAGGTCCTTTTGTTGTCTTAAAATGCCTGAACAGTACTAACAAATTCTCCCGAGTGTGTTTCTGGTACTAATTAGAAACTAGGCTATTGAATACTAAGTTATTTGACTTTTTTTAAAAAATATTAATCCTGCCTGACATTCTTATTAGGCATTTGGGAATGATCATGTTCTGTTAGAATAATGATACTTTTCCTTTAAATTTGTGCTTCTCAGTTTGACTTTTGTGTGGAGTGTGTGTTGTTATCAATGTGCATCTCATGTAGAAAAGTTAAGTGGTACAAATAACAAAGAGAAAAATAAAATCACAAATAATTCCACTATTCTTTTACAGAGATTATCACTGCTAATATTTTGGGGTGTATACTTCTAGATATTTTTCTACGCAGGTATGTTTTTGTGTGAATATATGTTGCTTTAAAAATATGTGTATGCAAAAAAAAAATATGTGTATGCAGCACCTAATATTCTGAAGTGAGTTCATAATCTTGGTTTGGAAGTACTAAAATTTATTTAGCCAAACCCTTATTGTTGGACAGATTGTATATTCTAATCAGTGCCATAACAGTTTAAAAAAGAAATCTATATTCCTCGGTTCCTTATTTTCTTGTAATTAAGTATTAGAAATAGAAATACTAGTCAAAGGGGTATGTAGATTTTAAAGATATTTAATGTATAAATACTAAAAAAAAAAAATCTCATTTATTAAAAAGTTTATTAGAATGCCTGTTTCCTTACATCCTTGACGTATTTTCAATGTTGGCCAGTTTGTCTGACAAAAAGTGTTCCTGTAATTTGAATTTTTATGATTTGCATATATTGGTTCTGTTGGTTTTGTCTTTTGTGAATTGCTTATATGTGTCCACTGCTGTCTTTTCTTTCTTTAAATACCTATATTTTACAGATTTTTTACAGAGAGGGAGAGAGAGGGATAGAGAGCTAGAAATATCGATGAGAGAGAAACATGGATCAGCTGTCCTTGACCAGAATCAAACCCTGGACCTTTCAGTCTGCAGGCTGACGCTCTATCCACTGAGCCAAACTGGTTTTGGCTTGTCTTTTTCTTTTTCTTTGTAAATAAAATTCTTTTGATTATACCCCCTCGATAATTTTGTGAGCTAGTATTTATAATCATTGCCTTATAAACTCCTTAATTCATTATTTAATAATTAACTAATGAAGACCTATGTAGGAGCTTGGAATAGGTTTTACCTTTCTCCCTGATAGTTAATTATAAGTCCCTGGGGGAGAGGAAACCCATCTTGATGGGAAGCTGTAGCACATATAAGTGAAGAGGCACATGTGCTGTGAAATAATATGTTAAAACGGGTGGCTGACGTGGGCCGCATTTTTGGGGATTAGCTGGTGAGGCACACTGGACAGGCGGCTGTCTGAAGGGTCGGGGAGTCTATATTAGGCAGCTGTGGCAGCAGGAAAGCCCCGAGCAGGGGATTCAAAGAGGTCTGATTAAAAAAAATAAATGCTAAAAGTTAAAATAAGGAAAAGAGGTCTACATTTTTTTTAATGGTTTCTTTTTAAAAAAAATATATTTTATTGATTTTTTACAGAGAGGAAGGGAGAGCGATAGAGAGTTAGAAACATCGATGAGAGAGAGTCATCGATCAGCTGCCTCTTGCACACCCCCTACTGGGGATGTGCCCGCAACCACGGTACATGCCCTTGACCAGAATCGAACCCGGGACCTTTTAAGTCCTCAGGCCAATGCTCTATCCACTGAGCCAAACCGGTTTGGCTTTAATGGCTTCTTTTAAAGAGGTTTGGTGGTAGGTGCCGGGACCATAGACTCTTAAGAGGAAGCGCTCAGGCCTGACCTAGCGAGTGGGAGGACCGGAGTGGGAGGACCGCAGGACAGAGCAGAACGTCAGTGCCCCCCGCAGGGCGGGAGGGAGGGAGGGAGCGGAGTCACACCGGGAGAATGAAGCCGCACCCAGATACTCTGTAAAGCCTGTAGGCCCTTCAGGGCCCCAGGAACAGGCCTGGGGCTTAGGGCTCATGATTCCTCTCTCAGGTTTGTGGTGAGGGGTAAGGGAGGTGACAGAGGCACATGCTTCGTGCTGGTCTGGGACTGTT